TCACTCTCTCACTCAAAGTTTTCGTTCGTAAGCCACTAGCACTGTGACTGATAGCAATTTGTTTGTGTGGACTGAGTAGAGACATTGCTATTCATCAATGTTCGTGATCACAACATCAAAGGTATGAATCACCATAAGAGGTAATGTTTTCTATCACTGACCATGCCCATTCATAAGGAACACTAAAGGAAAATTTTAATTTTCTATTGTGTTTTGGATCACAATTTTCCTTCAGTTAACACCATAACAAGAAGTCAAGATTATGAGGATTTTAAATCAAACTCAACACTTGGAGAGAGAAAACCCAAAAAGTTGACAATTGTCTCAACACTTCTTAGAAAATGATAATGCTTTTGTCGGGCTACCTGAGGATCACACAACAAGAACAATATCATAACTGCAGAGAGCAATGTTCTGCAAGAAATTCTACAGTAACTCTCAAAACACAAAGGGAGAAGGAAACCCATCAGATGAGCAAAGAGTTCATAACTTTACAATATTCTCTTAATCACAACCTAATTGGGGAAATAATCACACTCAGCTAGAGAAATCTGCATCAAGACCTGACTGGGGAATATAGGATAAAGGTATCAAACTACCCAAACCCAAAACCATATAACGACTTGGAGAAAATCTGAATCAAGACTTAATTGGGGAAAATGTGATCACAAATATAACACTACACCACATATCAATTGGTATCAAATCCAATAAACACAAGTGGACTATGCGTATATAACCAAGAGTAACACGAGATACTTCTTGGGGAATCTTTTCATTCGAAGTTTGTCCATCCTTAGAACCACTACTTTTGTCCCACTTGAATTACAAAATTGATGTAAAAATTAATTTTCAAATTCTTTTATAAATATGTTTTTATTATTAAGTCTTTTTGTTTTGAAAATTACTATCAATAATAAATGAAATTTTTATAAACAGAATATAATAAGAACTACAAAGAATTAGATAAAAGTCTCAAACTTTATTAATAGAATGGTAGACCGCAAATGGCATGACTCCATGGTTGATTACAACATTTTGGAAAATGGTAAATACAAGGAAAAGATACATTGTAGCACAATGACCACTATTCTCCCTAACAACTTTTAACTCCTGAGCATAGGTTTCAATTGAAGTGTGATGAGAATCTGAGAAGGTTGTTGCTTCAGTGATCAAGTCTTGTCTGACTCAATTACTTGCCAGGAAATCCCTAACTTTTGCCTAGGTTTCCCTTGCGGGTTTTCAACCTACTAAAAATTTTATTTTGTTTATGTCTCTGAATTTTTCTAGACCTCCCTTTCGTATTTTCAGCCTACTGAGATGCTCTTTTTTTGCCTAAGCCTCCCTTTCGGGTTTTCAGCCTACTGAGACGCTCTTTTTTGCCTAAGCCGCCCTTTCGGGTTTTCAACTTAGCTAGTTGTTCTTTTATTTCTTTAGGCGAAGTATTTCTTGACTGCGTCAGCATTCATGGGACATGGAAACTCCTCACCATCCATAGTTTCAAGAATCAATGCACCGCCAAAGAAGGCTTTCTTAACAACATATGGGCCTTCATAATTGGGAGTCTACTTTCCCCTAGAATTAGCGTTAAAAGACATGATCTTTCTGAGAACGAGGTTGCCTTCTCTGAATTCACGAGGCTTGACCTTCTCATTAAAAGCTTTCTTCATTCTTTTCTTATATAATTGACCATGACACAAGGCTGTCATTCTCTTTTCTTCAATTAAATTCAACTGGTCAAACCTGTTTTGGACCCATTCAGCCTCTGACAACTTGGTTTCCATTATTACAAACAAAGAGGGAATCTCAACCTCAACAGGGATCACTGCTTCCATACCATACACAAGAGAGAATGGCATTTCCCCTGTTGAAGTGCTGAAGGACATACGATACCCATGCAAAGCAAAAGGGAGCATCCCCTGCCAATCCTTATAGGTAACAACCATCTTCTAGATGATCTACTTAATGATTTTATTAGCAGCTTCAATAGCCCTATTGATCTTAAGCCTGTAAGGAGATGAATTGTGATGGACAATCTTGAATTCTTCACAAAGTTCTGTCATCATCTTATTATTCAAATTTGAGCCATTATCAGTGATAATCCTACTTGGTACACTATACCGACATTTAAGATTGTTCTTGATAAAGCCTACTACCACTTGCTTGGTGACATTAGCATAAAAAGCTGCTTCCACCCACTAGGTGAAGTAATCAATTGCCACTAAGATGAAACGATGTCCATTTGATGCCTTGGGTATAATCATTCCAATCATATCAATACCCTACATAGAAAAAGGTCATGGGGAAGAAGTAACATTGAGAAGTGTTGGAGGCACATGAATATTGTGAGCATAAATCTGACATTTATGGTACTTCTTCTCAAATTTTTAACAGTCATCTTCCATTGTCGTCCAATAGTAACCTGCCCTAAGCATCTTCTTTGCCACCTAATGTCCATTGGCATGGGTATCAAAGTAACCTTCATCGATCTCATGCATCAACATGTCTGCTTCATGTCTATCCACGCATATGAGTAAGACCATGTCATAATATCTCTTGTATAACACATCTTCATTATGGAAAAAACTATCTACCAACCTTCTCAATGTCTTCTTATCTTGATTTGACGCACCAACCGGATATTCTTGAGTCTATAGGAAGTGCTTGATATCATAATACCAAGGTTTTTCATCTGACGTCCCCTTTGTAGCAAATACATGAACTTGTCTATCAAGACGTCGAACCATATCTAAGGTACATTGTTCTAAGCATTCAGTTGGTACATGGAAGCCAAAGTGGCTAAAGCATCTACCATCTGATTCTTATCTATGGGAATATGGGGAAATTCAAATTTATTGAAGAAAGGTAACAATCTTCTTGCATAATCTTTGTAGGGAACTAAGCCAATGTGGGGAGTGTCTCATTCTCCTTTGATATGATTTATTACGAAATCTAAATCATATACATCAAGAAATTTGATTCTGAGATCTATAGCCTCTTCAAGACACATGATACAAGATTCATACTCCACCAAGTTGGTGGTACAATCAAATGTCAACCTTGCAGTAAAAGGGATATGTGACCCATAGGGAGTGATAATCACATCACTAATTCCTTTTTCATAAGAATTTAAAGCTCCATCAACCACCATACCCCATCAGGATTCGGGATTATAGCGGTAGAATTATTGAGACTAAGACATTGAATTGACTTGATTTGCACAGATAAAATAAAAATCGCCACTGCGCTTTATTGTTTCCATAGGAATGGGAAAAGAGAGAATAAACCCAAAAAGAGAGGGGGAGAGAATCTAGGTACGGGGGTTGGTTATACAAAGGGAAGGTATTAGCACCCTAAACATCTACAGTACTCCGCAGGAACCTCTTTTAAAACTTGTGTATTTTGGCTATCCTAAACATCCACGGTACTCCTCAGGAACACCCAAGTGGAAAATATCTCACTTCACTACATATCGTAGAAGTATAGTAGCTCACATCACTACAAGAATCGACAAGAGTATAATCTTTTGAGAAAAAGTTTTAAAGTAAAAAGCCAAAGTGGACAAATGGTTTGAATGAGTTTGATTGACTTTTAGTCTTATAAAAAATGTCAAAGTATGATTAAGTGAGTTAAAGTTTGATTAAGAAAAGATTTTTAGAAATGCATGGACCTAAGTCCAAGTTTATTATGAAAGAGGTTCAAGTTAAAAAATAAGAAGAGTTTTGAAAAGGAGGAAGAATATTTTTGAAATTAAAGAAGATGGGAGGATATGAAGGGTATAATACCCCAAATTTGTCCTACCCTTCTGTAAGGATCATCTGTCTTATGCTTATGATAAATCTCATGTACATACTCTCCATTTAGGACATCTAACACAACATGCACCACTAATCAATAAAATTGGTATGGGAACAAGGATATTGAAGTTATGGTTTTATCTATGGCTTTGATGGTTCTCATATTCACTCAGGCTAAATCAATTGGTTCCTCATTAACTGTGGTTTTTGAGCTAGGATTTGGATTCTTGATTATTGTGAACTTCTCCCCCATCAAGCTATAAGCTTCTCTTCATCAAGAGACTTCAAGAAGCATTTGAAGTAGTTTTTGGTCATTCATTGGTACATCTCAAGAAGATTAGGGTTGATATCCTGTCTTAGTTGAGTTTGTCAATATTTCATCTGAGTTTCATTGGTTTTTATACTGCAAAAGGTGTTGTCATTATAGTGCTCAAACACCTTTGTGGATTGTACTTATATTTCCAGAGTTATAGGGATTGGAGATTTGAATTGGTATGGATTCATTATTATGGAAGTATTCATTCAAGTGATATTTGATTCCATGAGTTCAAGTTTGCTCGAGTTTATCAAAGATTACATACATTTGTTCGTGGTGATCTTTTCTGGAAAAAAAAAAGTTACAAAGGTTTAAGGTTCAAAGTGAGATTTCAAGTGTTATTCGTCATTATTTAACTTTATCCTCAAATTTCATCATCAAATTCATTTAATGCATGTAATAAATTGGTGTCAAAAGTTTTAAGGTCATGATTTGTCAAGGGTTGATTTAAGGATAAGGTAAGAAGATCATTCAAAGATTCAAGTCTAATGTCATTTCTAAGATGCAAGTCATTACAAAAGCCATTCAAGCTACATCCAAAGGAAAAGACTTGGAAGTTTCAAAGGAAAATGGAGGGAAACAATGGACATACGTATTTCTAAAAAATACATGTCATGTTTCAAATTGCCTCATTACAAAACAAAATATTCATCAAACTTTCAAACCATATCCAAATTTCTTACAAGATTATTCACTACTTGAGTCACGAAAGTATTCCTATTACAAAGTCCTAGCCTTTACATTACACCATCTAATCCCATCATATTTCAAAATTCAAAATCCTATAAAAGTACACCAAAGTGCATTACACAAAAAATATAGTTGCATTAATTGTCCCAAGCCTATTTCATCCAATTTGTCCTAAAATTCTTGTCTTGATCACATTGTTATAATATGATCTTATAGCCATCTTTCAAGACAACCAAACTCCATGAGACCTTGATTTTCACCATTACACCATCAAATTCCAAACCTGCAAACAAAACAAAGTCCATACCGTGCCCTATTCGCAACAAATACAAAAGAAACCAGTTCAGCCCTGAATCAATATAAAATCAAAACAGTCTAAACATTTCGAAATGACCTTGAAACTACTATAACAGAAAGCCTCCTCATGCCTTGTTAAGTGATTCAAGTATCACAATCCTATTCCAGAAGAAAATACCGAGGAAAGTGAATTCAGAAATACATCCATAATAGATTTAACTGCCTCTTCATAATAACATACAGTTCTGCAGAATTAAATTTCATAACTTCTAATCGATGCCAACTACCTATAACAGAAAAATAACAGAATTTTAACAACCTCCTAACCAATCATCAACTAACTTTTTCTAACTCTATAACTAACTAACTACTAACAATAACATTAACAAAATACTTAATTTCTAACTAATTCAATAACTAACATTTCCACACTCAAATCCTACCATTGATTTCCTAACAAACTTGTCTTAATCCAATGACTTAGATCTTCCCTCTATAATTGTAACCTCCTTCTCCACCAACCTATATAAACCACTTAAACTTTATCTTCATCCCGCTCTCCACCATTTTCCACAAATCTCAGAAATACTCTCCATATTCTCTATTCACCTCAACCATTTTTCATTCTCCACTTTTCTACACTCTCTCATATCTAACCATCATCACTAATTCTCATTCTTTTGTAACCTTCATATTTCCCTCCGAGAACTTGCAACTGCCACAAAGAAAAGAAGAATATTGAATCCAATCGCAATCGTAACTGGAGTGGGATTTCTTGGGTTTCTATAATTGATCGGCACCATCGAAGCACCGACCAATTCTTTCAGATATGTTGGAGTGACGAATAGAAACGGTTGTGGTTCATCGAAGAAGAACGATGAACAGAAGTGTGTGGTCATGGAAATTCAACGATTCTTCAAGAATCTTCAATATCTGTAATTCAACAATCATCACCGACTTCAACATGATCTTCTCTCTTTCCAAATTTCTCTGTATTTCGGTATTCATCTTATCATCTCTGCAGCAAACATCGCCAATCTTCATCCTCCCGCCACAGCTTCATAATGAATCTGTGATTTCTTCGTATCTCCATCAACACTTCACTACATATATAAACAACAATGATATCAATAGAAACACAAATTTTCAAGGCTAATTTGGAATTGAAAAAGATCAATAGAAGAATCAAACATTCTTTAGACTTCCCGTCATATTCGCCGGTATCTGAAGCACCACTGAAGTATCTCTGGTATGTAAGCTCTATTTTCTTCATCGTTTTCCTGTCAGTTGTAGGAGTTTGAGTCCAGATTGAAGAGTAGCTTGAGAATGATATGAAAGGTGAATCGTACGGGGTATGTTGAGTAAGTCAGAGGCAGTCCATAGAGGACGTGATGAGGTTGAGCTGAGACAGAGACGATTATGAGAACACGATGACACTAAAGATTGAGAGGAGGAAGGATGAAGATCACCGTGTTGTATTAGCATGAAGAAAGGGAGAAGAGGGTTTGTGAAGTGGAACAGACACTACTTCACCCTAATTTCATTGTTCTATCCTTATTTTTTATAATTGTTTTGTTTTTTAATAATTCAATAAATTTCTAATTGTAAAGATATAATAATGCTGAAACAGAGGACATTAGGGAATGAATTGGGATGGATCGAAAATGACAATTCCCTTGCTAGGCCCATACACGATTATTGGCATTTGAATGATGGTATAATTAAAAAATGGCTATGGACTTCATTCTGAAATGGGCCTAGCGCCCAGCTTCTGCAAAACCCCCTGGATGAGTTTCACACCCGTGATCCTACCTTTCTCTTTGTTAGATTTAGGATTTTATTTTATTTTCTTTGTGATAAGAAAGTTATAAAATCAATAAAACTTGTTAAAACTTCTTAGTTGATTTTAGGAATAAATTCTTTAGTTTTCGATAGAATTTTCCGCACATAAAAAACTAATAAAAAAAATAATTTTTCTTTTAGTTTTTATTCATATTTTCATACTGTTGTGCCTCGTTATTTTTGACGTGTTTGGTCATTGTACAAGGTACATTTTTGGTGCTTTCGATCATGTAACATAACAAGTTGTTATGTGATCGAAGCATATGGCTTATCCTCGCTTATGATGTGACACGCCTTATTTCTTATCGTCCTGAGAAATTCATATCATATTATATGTTGTCCCGATGTATGCGATATTTTGTGCATGATTTTTTGGTTACGTGTTGCATTCACAGCACGCATTTGCTTTTATCTTAGTTGGATATTTTTTCTGACTTTATTTGTTTCACGGTGAAGCTTGATTGATGTGTACTCCCTACTTCACCATTGCTTTTGTCCGCTTTCGATGATCCTCCTTCTTTTGGTAGTCGTCGCTACTACTTGTACATTTTCTCACACTTTATCGCATTTCTTTACCACTTCCTAGATATCATGAGAAGTTGGAACTTTACTGCATTATGATATAATGAGAAGTAGTAATAGAGATGTAAGACGGGGTTCTCCGTTGCTGATCATGTCAGGAATGCCTCTGGTTTGTTTAAAGACCCGTTTAGGGCAATTCCGCATTATTTGCCACTGTGTGCTACTTGTGTGCGGTTTAAAACTCTACCTTTGTGTAGGTATTCTGCAGGCGTGTTTACATTTGTGCTCGCATATGTTACAAATGATAATTTCTCAAAAGGAGGCTAGTGGAGAGGGTTAGAAATCAACCCCCACAATTCCGTTTGTGTCATCCTTAGCTCGTAATGTACCATGATGCTTCAGATTTGTGCCTACTCTTGTTATCGAGTCTTCAAGTGGAAAAGAGTTTTACAATCGAACCGCCACACTTTGTCAAGAGTTTACATTGGCCGATGCTGACACTCCATGATTATTCATATTGCCTTCAGTCGCCTACCTTGATCTTCTATATCTTGGTTAGGTGTTCAGTCGCTTTGGACATCACATTTTTGTTTTACATCTTATTCCTACTTGGTTGCTTCGGGTGATCTTCTCCCCTTAGCTAAAGCATTTCTCTTCTTTTGTATTTCACTCCCGCTTGTATTTCTTGAGTGATCCGCTCCCCTTGACTAAAGAATTTTGCTTCTTTTCTTTACCATGTTATGTGTGTGCAATTCCGAGCTTGTTTTCTCACTCGCTTTCGATATTATGTTCCCTTAGGATGTGCTTGTTCCTTTCGGGTGCAAGTTAGATCTTAGGTTGCAAACCATGCATGATAACATTAGGTAGATGTTTCCATTTTGTTAATACAAACCTTATGACCACCATTGTATGATAATATTAGGATTAGAAATAGGCTAGTCTCTCGTAGACTCTTTTCTTCCCTTTTTGCATATGCATTTAAAACTAAAAATTTGTTTTTCTTATCAAATCATAAAACATACTAATCACACTTATACCCTTTTTAAAGGTAACTAAACATAAACCAATCAAACATGGCATCTTCCCTTGAGGGCGTAACTCAAAACCATTTTCAGGTAGGGATATGTTAATTTACTTCTGTGCCAACGCGTGAGTCTCCAAAGGTCGAGTTGTGGTAGAAGGTGAAATTAACATTGTTCATAAAAATACAAAACAAACAAAAATATGTGAGTCGAACTATGGTAACTTTGATTCCTCAAAAAGGATATGTAGACATTGGTGTAGGGCCCAAGCGAGCACAACTTTATTTTCCCTACATTATTTTCTCCTTTCTTTTGCATGCATTCTTCCTCAGTAGTATGAAATAAAAATAGACTAAACACACTCATAAGATAGATAACAAGAGTTGATACTGTAGAGTACTAAGGTTGTGTGGGGTGTTAATACCTTCCCCTCGTGTAACAAACTCCCTTACCAGATATCTCGGTCGCAAGACCGTGACTTCTCCCTTATCAGGTTTTCTCAATGTTTACCTTTCCCTTCATATGGGATAAAATACGTTTGATGGCAACTTCATTATTTGATGATTTTCAGTCGGTTGTTTCAAAGGGACTATCCTAAAGCATAAAGTAAAAGCTAAGGAGAAGAACTATGTAACCAACGAGAAGCCAACACTTGACATAAGAAGTCAATGAAGAATTCCAATACATTAAATTGAAACCAAGAAAAAAATACCAAACATCTCAAAAATATCCAGGCTTCAGATGCATCATGTCTTCATAAAAATTGGGCAGAGCAATAGTTGTATACAAAGGAATTCTCAATCACAGACAGAGCACATAATCAGAATAACATGCATACAAAGAAAATTAACCCAATGTCTTGGGATAAACCCCAAGAACTCCAGACCTAATAACCACAGAGTCACAAGGTCCTAAGGTTAATCAAGGCTTCTAATCCTAAGTCCAAAAGGTCCACAACTCCATTATGCCAAGGATAGTAACCAAATAGTCCAAGTAAACTTAAATTTTTTTAATGATCAAGTTGGTCATTAAGTGTCTTCAAAAAGAAAATGAAAGCTCAAGTGAGTAAAATAAAAATGACATAAAGATAAATGCTAAAGTGAGAAAAGGTAAAATGACATAAATATAAATGCTCAAGTGAGCAAAGATAAAATGACATAAAGATAAATGCTCAACTGTAAATGCTAAAATAAATGGTGCATAAAAGTAAAGGCATAAAATAAAGGGAATAAAGTAAAATCACAAAGTAAAGTTATCTGTTAGTGAATTAGAAGTTAGAGGTTAGTTGAATGACCATCTTGACACTTGCATTTGAAAACTCATTTTAAGATTGTTAAATTTAAAGCTTCTCAACAACAAGTTTCATTTGTTTTTTGTCAAGTATATCATTCATTTCAAGTACTCAAGAAAAGCATATATGATCAATGATGTTTAAATGATCCACTTAGACAAAAATTCATAAGAGTTCATTAGAGGATTGATAAGATCAAAGCCTCCTAACAATGAACCTCAAGGTTATTGGATCAATGGTTTCAAACTAAACATACTTGGGATTGCAAACATAGGTTTGGGCCACAAATGATCATTTTTTGAATCGGGACAAATTTAGCGCTATGTTAAGCAATCATAAGTGGACTTATGTAGAAGTCACACCTATTTTGAGGTTGTTCAATAGCAATCTATGTACCACATATTAGAGAAATGATATGTAGATTATTCTCCAACAACATCTAGCATAAGTAAGAAAGGGATAAGATGAAGGGGGGGATGTATCAGATGAAATTAGGGTTTCAAATATCATCAACATCATTCACCCATTTTGGTGGATTTGGTTTTTCAACCTATCAACACCCAAGATCCAATGAGGTTGAGGAACTTGTCCCAAAATAACACCCAAATCAGGACAAAACAAAAATAATAAAATAATACTTGATAAAATAATATTTAAAATAATTAATAAAAGGGAAATAATTAGTAAATTACATAAATTATGTTAAAACACCAAATAAAAATTCTAAAAAAATATCAGAAGTCAAACATGAGTCAGCAAGTGTTGGCAAAAATTTTCAGAATTTTTCAAAGTCAGAAACTATTTTTAAAGTTCAAAGAAATAAGCAAAATAAACTAAAAATTATAAAAAATGTTAAAATCAGAAGAGAAAAAAAATGAGGTCACCAATATTATCCAAAGGTCATTGGATCCTTCCATAATATTTCCATAATTTAAAAATCAAGAAAAGTATTTTTAAACAACTAAAATAATTCAAATAAAGTGAAAAATCATAAAAAATACCAAATCACAAAATAAAATTGTGAAAAAATAAGAATCAGAAAGAGAAAAATCATAAATATTTTTGAGAATTTTTTCAGAATTTTAGAAGTTGAAATGAATTTTTTATGAATTTTGGAAGTTTAAAACAATTAAAATATAAAATCAAAAAATAAAAATAAAGTAAAAAAGATGTAGACCATTGGATCAATGTCAAAATGCGTTTGTAATCAAATCCAAGGGAT